TACTACGACTACGACTACGACTACGACTACGACTACGACTACGACTACGACTACGACTACTACTACTACTACTACTACTACTACTACTACTACTACTACTACTACTAGGCAGAGGTTGAGGCTGAGGCAGGCTGAGGCTGAGGCTGAGGCTGAGGCAGGCTGAGGCTGAGGCAGGCTGAGGCTGAGGCTGCGACTGCGACTGCCATTGCCACTGCAACTGCCATTGCGATTGCGACTGCGACTGCGATTACACCAGAATTCTACAACAGGACTCCTACATGAATCTCAAGGGCAATGCTTCCATATATGTTTCTAAACATCGCTGTTAGGTTGCTTTGCCCGGATAATCCCATTCCCTTCGGAAAACGTACATGTTTAGCATATCCGCTTCTTTGGCCTTCACCGCGTCCAAAGGCCCAAGAGGCCCCCAAGATTGCCCCAGGACGGCCCAAGAAGTCCCCAAGGGAGCCCCAAGACAACCCAAAAGGGCTCCAACACGAGCCAAGAGAGCCCCAAGACGGCCCCAAATAGCACCAAAAGGCTTCCCAGAGAGCCCCAAGAAGGCCGCAGGAGGCCCCCAAGAAGAACCAAGAGGGCCCCAAGACGGCCCAAGCCCCCCAGGACGGTCCAAGAAGGTCCCGGGGCGGCCCAGGAGGGCCGCCAGATAGCCCAAAAAGGCATCAAAAGGAGCCCCACGGGGGGTCCGAGAGGCCATACCCCTATCAGCCATATGAGGCATGTCGGCCCCACAAGCCCTGCGACCACTATGGTGCCTCATGGTGCCCCATGAGCCCTGTGAGGCCTGGGAACCCTAACACCTCCAGAGCTCACACCCCCACACGCCGCGAGACCCCGAAAGGCCCCCCAACTCATAATCCAAACCACGGGTGTGCCGCCATGGACGGTGCGGCGGCATGCACATGTTGGCTCTTCACCATCGGTGGAGCGGTGAGGCGGCATGCACACGTTGGCTCTTCACCGTCGATGGAGCTCCCTGTGGGGGGCGGTCCATGTGAGGGGACATTCGGCACACATGTGGTGACGTAGCGTTCTGCGGATCCTGCCAGGAAGACGGATCACAAGGGCCCCATGAGGGCCACGAGACGGCCGAAGGTGCCCCACTGAGAATCCTCTACTCAGAGCCGCAGGTGAAGCCCTATGAGCCTTATGAGCCCTATGGGCCCCATGAGCCCTATGAGCTTGATGAGCCCTATGAGCCCTATGGCCCCTATGAGACCATGAGCCCTGTGAGCCATATGAGCCCTATGAGGCCTGTGAGCCCTATGAGCCCTCTAAGCTTTATGAGCCCCATGAGCCCCATGAGCCCTATGAGCCCGATGACCCCTATGAGCCCTATGAGCCTTATGAGCCCTATGAACCCTATGAGCCCTGTGAGCCCTATGAGCCATTTAAGAGCCCTATGAGCCCCATGAGCCCTATGAGCCCAATCAGCCATTTAAGCCCTATGAGCCGTCAAGCCCCATGAGCGCTATGAGCCTTATGAGCCCTATGGGCCCCATGAGCCCTATGAGCCCTATGAGCCGTATGAGCTTTATGAGCCCTGTGGGCTCTATGGGGCCAATGAACTCTATGAGCCCAATGAGCCCTCTTGAGCCCTACGAACCCATGAGCCCTATGAGCCCCATGAGCCCTATGAGCTCTGTGAGCCCTATGGGCCCCATGAGCCCTATGACCCCCGCGAACCCTATTAGTCCAATGAGCCCTAGGAGCCTAGTATTAGCCTTAAGAGCCCTACGAGCCCATGAGCTCTCCGAGCTCCATGAGCCCCATGAGCCTGATGAGCCCTTTGAGGCCTATGTGCACTAGAAGCCCCATGAGCTTTATGAGTTCACGAGCCCCAGGAGCCCAATGAACTCAATGAGCCGAGCCCCATACCCTCCCCCGACCCTCCATGACACCATATGAGCGCGATGACCCCCACGAGGACTATGCGCCCTATGAGCCCTAGAACCCCTCAGCACTAGGAGCCGTGAAGCCTTGCGAGACCCACGAGACCCCCCTCTGAGCCCTACGAGCCCAGTGAGCCGTATACGGCCTATGGGCCCTATGAGCCCTATGGCCCCGACTTGCCCCTTCACCCCAATCGGCCCCATGAGCCCTACGAGGGCTACGCGCTCTGTTAGCGCTATGGGCCCGATGGCCCCCAGGAGCATTGCGAGCTCTATGAGCGCCCAATGGCCCCCAAGAGCTGATGACTCCACTGAGCACAAGGACCCTTATAAGCACCATGAGCCTCCTATGACCCCCATGACCTCTGTAAAAGCCACTCAGAATAATGAACCGCGTGCCCGATGTGCACAAACAGTCCCATGACCCCAACGAACCCCATGAGCCCTGTGAGCCCTGTGAGTCTCATGACCCTCTGGAGCCGCATCGGCAGCAGTACCCCTCGCCTAAAATGGGGGCTCCGAGCCCCTGGGCCCCATGACGGCAAAGACCCCTTCTGAGCTCTTTGAGCCGCAATATCCCCTGGGTCCTATCAGCCCTGTTTGCTCCATGGACTCCATGGCCAGTACACACGGCGGCTGTGACGACAACCGATCTCATCGCGCCCCCCTGGCGCCATGCGACCAAGGTTTTAAAGGCGAAGCGCAGCGAGCCGGTACAATATTGCATATACATATGTTTATAGATGCATACACTGTGAGAGGAGGACAGACAGAGAGGCACACACAAGGGAGAGAGAGAGAGAGAGAGAGAGCGAGAAGGAAAGAGAGAGAAAGAGAGAGAGAGAGAGAGACCGCGAGGGAGAGGCAGAGAGAGGGAGGCAGGAAGGGAGTGTGAGAGAGAGAGAGAGAAACAAAAAAAAAGATGAGAACATGTGGTGATGGCGGATATGGCAAATGACTCCTCCTCCTCCCCCTCCTCCTCCTCCTCCTCCTCCTCCTGTCCCGTGCCTCCCCCGTGCGCCAGGGAGATGGGCGAGCCAATGGGGGGAAGAAAGGCGGAGGGGAAGGAAGGGATGTCGGGAGCTGCAGAGGGAGAGGGCAGCAGAGGGACAGGGCGGGGGGGGGAAAGGAAGGCTGCAGGGGGGGGGGAGGGGAGAGGTAAGACGAAACCAGGACGAGGACAGCTTCGGGTGAGGGGAAGTCGAGAATCTCAGAGATCCGGCGGCTCTGGAAGATGTCTCGGGCGCCGCGGTCGTCTCCGAGAGCGTCCCGGAACGCTCGGGAGCGGATCTGTGTCCTCGCCCTGGCCCCGTCCGATGAGGGGGGCCGGCAGGAGACGGGGGAATCTTGGGAGGAGGCGGCGCTCCCGGGGGCTCGCCTCCGGGCGGCCGGCCGAGAGCCGCCCCGAGCTCCTCCTTGGCCAGCTGCCGCGCCAGCCTCTCGCCTCGGGGCGTGGGCAGAGCGGCCACTCGGCCCCGTGGGCGCTGCTGCCCCCGGCAGGGCCCCATCTGGGCCCATGCCCGGGGTCCCGCCCGCAGCCGTCGATCCGGGAGGCGCCCGCGAGGATCAGGGCCCCCCAGGGCCAGGGCATTGCTGACCAAGGCTCTGAGGAAGTCCCACCTGGAGAAGACGATGACGAATACTGTGGGAGTTCATCCACAAGAAACCCACCGCTCCAAAGAAGCAACACTGAAATTCGCCGAGGTTTCTCGGTCCAGGGTTGGGTTCCTTGCACTTCGGCTGCAGACGAAGACATCCAGGGTACCCTGCCCCGAGCGGTTTCGCGATCGCTTGCGTCAAGCACGTTGACACCAAGAAGCCCAAGGCGACACACATGTTTCTTGGAGGCTCGGGCGCGAGCACCGACGCGCACCGACGCGCACCGACGCCAAAAAAACCAGGGCGCCCTGACGAAACACGGATGCTTCTTCTCATGCGGTCCGACTGCACTTCTCCGACGATCGGCAGCAGTTTCCTCGGATGTCCTGGCTTGCCAGGAGTCCCCGCCACGAGGGGCCCCGAAGAGGACCTCGCGGAGCGCCGGATCAGGTGCCCTCCCGTGCTCGAGGGGGGGGGGGAACTGAAGCATCGGCGGCGCGCCTTCTCGAAGGCGGCGGGGCTTCTTCTGGGAGGCCCCCCTGGCCTTCTGAGAGGCCCCCTGCACCTGCGGAGGAAACTCGGGGAGCGCCTCAGAGGGTCAGCGACCTCCTGGCCCTCCTGAGAAGGATTGCAAAAAAAAACCAAGGATTGCAAAAAAAAACCAGGATTGCAAAAAAAAAACCAAGGATTGCAAGGGTTTTTTTTTTGCAATCCTTGGGTTTTTTTGCAATCCAGGGTTTTTTTTGCAATCTTTTGCAATCCTCTGCCTTCCCACCTGGGCGCTCCGCCGAACGACGAAACAGCCGCGCAGGCATCAACTTTCGGAGCTTCGCGAGCACCTCTCGGTCCGCCGCTGGGCCCCTCTCCCTAGCGCGCGGAGCGCGCCAGGGCGCGCCAGGGGCAGCGCTGGAGGCGCGCTAGGGAGGTGCAGCGCCGATCCAAGAAGTCCGCGCGGAGCTCCGTACGCTCATGCCTACGAGTGGGCGAGGGTCGCGGGCATGGCCGGACCTGGGGGGGGGCCTTCTGCCCGTGCAGACGTCTTCATGTCAAGCACCTGCAGTCCAGTGGCATGGCACGGTTTACCTGCGCGCTCCCCACGACGGCAAAAAGCATCACTACCACCGTCGGGTCCACCATCCGCGATCGGGTATCCGATCTTTGGGAGGGGCCCCGATCTAGAAGTCTCTCCTACGCGCCCTGACGGCACCAGACACCGACGGGCGCACCCGGCGGGCGCAGGATCGCGAAAGGCAGATCGGCGAGGAGATCCCGAGGGCGTCTAAGAGGAGGGCGTCCAAGAGGTGGGGGGGCGTATCATCATTGCGTATCATGGCCCCAGGCATGCGCGCGGACGAGGGAGGGACCAAGGGACGTATTGCAATACGAAAAGCGGACCGGCCCCAGCCATGATATTCACCCCCCCGAGGCATCCACCCTCGCTTGGCCGCCCCCGAAGACGACCAGAGCGCGGGCAGTGGCCGAGGCGCAGGCGCAGCTGCAGGACCTCCTTCTCGGCCGGGGACAGCGCCAGGGCCCCGTCGCAGAACCTGATCGCCTGACAATGCTTATCGGGGCAACCAGTGGAGGCACAGGACGCACAGCCCATTGCCCCGACCGCACAGTTCTACCTTCATGTCTGCTGACGTGCTGCTGGTCCGAGCCCCGCCAGCCCTTCGGGCGCTGGTGGTGTAGCGAGTTCAGTCAGCTGACACCCTTCTGCAGCTGTTGGGAAGGGCTTCCACCTCCCCCGGCCTGGAGTGGGGGGGCGAGGGGTTCGAGCGTCCAAGATGGCTCAAGATGGTTACAGGACGGCTTTGAATAGCCCAAGATGGCCTCCTGGACGGCTTCAGAGAGCCGAAACTTGCCTCCAAGATGCCTCCGAGAAGCCCCAAGACTGCTGCAAGACGGATTGCATGTGGCCACGGACCCTCCCAACGGCCCCGAGAGGCCAAAATCCCACCAGCCCTCTGGGCGTAGGAAGTCTAACTAGTTTTTCCGTCTCTCTGCCCAAAATCCCTCCTTCCCCTGCTCGGGGGAAGCGTTTGTCACTGCTCCCCTATTAAGATACACCCTCTCCCCCAGGTGACCGGCAGCCAACCAGGCACACTGCCGACCCTATGATCACACACCTCTGCCATCCCTGTCAAAACCGATTCAACCACACACTCCGCCTCCAACTTCGGAGCATGCGCAACCACCCGATGCGGCCCCCCCACCGCCCCTGTCAAAAACAATACAAAGTACACGTGTGGGCAAAGTCTTGAGTCATGTTCGTGAGGCCCGCGAATACTGTGTATTGGTGTTTTTTGACAGGGGCGGCGGGGGTGTCAGCATACTCCCTGCTGCGCGCAGGACCACAACCCCTGTCCAAAAACAATGCAACATGCACCTCGCGGCTAAATCTGGATCATGCGCGGCCACCCCGCGATCACTGCCAAGTGGCTTTTGACAAGGACGGCGGGGGTGGTGGCGTATGGCCTGCTGTGCGCAGGCCCACCAGACACAATGATGGGTTTTCGACAAATTGGTGGGGGCCGACATGGTTCCCGATGTGCGCTGTCACATGCGCAGGCGCACCTCGCACACTCTGCACGCACCCCGAATGTGGCGTAACTAGTCCGGCTGGAATATTCGGCTCACCTGGCGCACGTGGAGCACGCGGCGCATCTGGCGCACTAGGCGTGCCTGGCACGCTCGGGTCCCAGGGGTGCCTGGCGCGCGTCGCGCGCCTGGCACGCGTGGCGCACCTCGCCCCAGAGTCGCACACAAAGGGTTGGCTTTGGTGCCCAAAAGCTGCCCATCCAAAGACGACCGCTGAACATGCTGAGGCTCGGGTGGGAGTGAGCTGGACTGCTCATTATCTAGAAAGGTGTCTTGACCCCTCCCCCTACCCCCTCCCCTGGGTCTGGACGGGGCGCCTCGCGAGGGTTTAGAGCGTCCAAGATGGCCCAGGATGGCTGCAGGAGGGCCTCAGAGAGCCAAAGATGGCCTCCAAGACGGTTGGCTCAAGATAACTTCCGAAAAATCTCCAAGAGGCCCTAAGACGGTTTGAAATGCCTTTCGAGCATCCAAAACAAGCCTCCAAGAGGCCGAAATTGCTCCCAAACTTGAGGAAGATGTATGGCGTTTGCCTTCTCGCAGTGTCGCGTCCGATGGGCTCTTGCGGCGTAAAGATGGCCTTTAGAAGGCCAAGCATAGCACCAAGAGGGGCCCAAGAGGGCCACAAGACGGCCCCGAGAGCGCCCAAGATTGTCCCAAAAGCGCCCCAAGACGCAAGGCTTGAGCCTCCGAAGGGAGGCCTGAGTGTATGACCCCCCTGCGTTTGAGCAGCGGTGCCCAAAATTGCCCCAAGAGGCCCCCCCCCTAAAAACCCAAAGAGGGCCCCTTAGACCCTCCGAGAGAAGCAAAAACCCAGCAGTGCCCCTAGTGGCTCCGCGAGGACCCCAGGAGAGACCCAAGATGGCTCCAAGAGACCTCCGAGAAAACACTTCCAAGGCGGTTGTTACACTGCATGTTCCTACACTTCCCTGGTCAAGGCAACTCGCCTGGCGATCTGTTTCTGGATGGGCTCTTGGGGATACGTTTTTGATAGCGACCGCGGCGAGGAACAGTCGAGCAGCGTCCAGGGTATTGCACACAACCGACGACCTAAATTAGCGCAGCGGAAGAGGAAGGCGAAAAACAAAGAACGAGAACGAGCAGGAGACACAAACAGGAGGCGAGCCTCACTGCCGGCAATCTCGTGGGGATACTATTTTTCGCAGCCGCAAGCGAAGGCGCAGGCGGCGTCTAGAGTCGACCGGGGCTACGGGCGGAACCTAATCACCCAGCGAGCGCACTCACGGCTGCCAAAGACTCTCCCGTGGGGATACTTCTTGGTCAACGGCCTCGTGAAGCGGGTCAAAAGGCGTCCAAACTCTAGCCGGGCCACGACTAGGCAGCAGCTCTCGTGGGGATACTTTTTTTTTTACAGCCGCAGGCGGAAGCGCCAGCGGCGGGCAGTCATCTCTCGTGGGGATACGCGAAGCGTCAAGACTTATTCAAAACCATTGCTTTTGCGTCTCTGTGGTGTGCCTTCTCGCGCGTTCGCCCCTGGTGAAGCTTCTGAAGCCCTACGGTGGCTGCAACATAGCTTAGCCCGACAGAGCCCCACGAAAGACCCATCAGGGCTTCAAGATGAGGGCCCCAAGAGGTGTTTTACGGGGGGCAAGAGATGGGAGCGGCGCTAGACGGCGCGTTTCCCTTCGCTTATTATCAAATAGTTATGTTTCGAAGTGCTCCGAAAGCTCCCACGATGGACCAAGAAGGACACAAATTGTCGCCAAGCTGCTTCCAAGAGGCTTCCGACAGGCTCGATGAACGGAAGGGCCTTGAAGGCCTTCATCGTTGACTCCTGCCGCTGTCATCGTCGTCGCACCCTTCATCCCCTCCTCACCACCTTCCTCTTCAGTCTCCTCCTCTCTCTCTCCTCCCCCCACTTCTTCTTCTTCTTCTTCTTCTTCTCCTTTGCTTCCTCCTCCGAAGGGCCTCAGGAAATCCACTCCTGGGCATGCTAAGACTGATTCTGGGCTCTGGCCTGAAGCCTGCCTCACCTCTGTTCCACTGCATGATCGTACACTTCCCTGATCACGGCAACTCGCCCTTGCATCTGTCATACATGGGCTGGTGTGGATGCACGAAAAACCGCATAACATCTGAGGGTTTCTGGTGACTGTGCCCCTCACCTCGAAACGTACGAACGAGATTGGTGTAAAGTATCAGTTGCACTGTGATTTGCTTTAGAAGCCTCGAGAATATCGAAATCCGCCACCCTCGAGATGGTCGGCGCTTGGGCAGCCGCGCCCGAGAAGCCCCAGGAAGATCACTCCCAGATGGGGTCGGAGTAAACCTAGTCGGAGGATCGCGCCGTATCGTCGATGCATCAGCGTTGCATCGGCGATGCATCGGCTCCGTCGGCGATGCATCGGCGCCGTCGGCGATACATCGGCGGCGTCAGCGTGGAGAAAAATCGGGCTCACATTGAGCCGCATCCCCGATGCATCGGCGATGCGGCGCGATCATCCAACCCCATTTACTCCGACCCCATGTTGGGGAACCCCAGAAATGGTACTGATACTGCTACTCCAGGAACCTTTCCACGGGGTGAGTTCTGACCAGAACTTCGAAGCGAATCCGGCGGTGGCGACGAGGGCTGCACAAGAGGCCCGAACAGGCGAAAACGAAGCAAAGATAGCGGTATGGGTTCCTTGCTTTCGCTCTCGGACATCTGGGAGGCCTGGATCACCGAAGACCGCCGAAGCCCTCCGACCACCGCCGAGACGTCCGTCGACAGGGGCCGCGGCGGGCGCTCGGCCGCGCCAGGCGCCAAGCCGCTCCGCCCCACGACGCGAGGCTGCAGGAAAGCACGCGCCGAACGGCGCGCGCTTGCCGCGTGCAGTTGGATTATAGTGTCCACCGCTTGTGTCGGTCTGTCTGTCTGTCTGTCTGTCTGCATGCATGTATGTATGTATGTGTATATATATGTATATGTGTATGTGTATGTGTATATGCGTGTATATGTGTGTATGGGTGCATATGTGTATGTGTGTCTGCGTGTATATGTGTATGTGTGTATGTGTAGGTGTGTATGTGAGTAGATGTGTATGTGTGTTTGTGTTTATGTATGTATATACACATGATCTCACATGTATACATTGTATGCATGTATGCAGGTATGTAGGTAGGTATGTGTATGCATGTGTGTATGTGTGTATGTGTGTATGCCTGTATGGATGCATGCGTACATGTATGTATGTGTGTAAGTATGTACGTACGTACGTACGTACGTACGTATGTATGTATGTATGTATGTATGTATGTATGTATGTATGTATGTGTGTATGTGAATGTGTGTATGTATGCGTGTATGTGTGTATGTATGTGTGTATGTGTGTATGAGTGTTTGTGTGTATGTGTATGTGTATGTGTATGCGTATATGTGTATGTCTGTGTATATGTATGTGTGTATGTGTGTATGTATGTATGCATGTATGTAGGTAGGTAGGTAGGTAGGTAGGTACTTGTGTACGGATGCGTGTTGTGAGTATGTGTATGTGTGTATGTATGCATGTATGCATGTATGTACGTACGTATGTGTATATGTAGATAGGTGTGTGTGTGTGTGCATGCCGGTAGGTGTGTAGGTATGTATGTATGTATGCATGTATGTACGCATGCATGCATGCATGCATGTATGTGTCTGTATGCATGTATGTATGAATGAGTGTGTGTATGTACTCATGCATGTATGTATGCATGTGCATATGTTTGTATACAAGGACGGAGAAGATCCGAACGGACACCGAACGATCTGCTGCCTCTCAAGGGGGTGATCATCGAAACAGGAATGCTCTATAGTGGCCGGCCGGGATAACGACCACTGCGCGTCTACTAAAAAAAAAAAACTAGAGCCTGCTGGCGGCGGCGCTCTGCGCGCATGGAATCCGGGTCCAGTGGCGATCCAAGAAATCTGCGCGGACCTCAGAAAGCAGCATTTGTTTATGCAATTTGCTGTTCTTCGAGTTACAGACGCCAAATGGGCCGACCGCAGCCGATGTCGGTGGCCCAGGGAAGGCCAATCATGGCACTGGTGCCGCAGCCTAGAAGCCTCCCGCCCAGTTGTGAAGGGCAAAGGGGTTACCAGCTCGGGGGGAACATCGAGATGGAAACGGCGATACATCGCCGATAGATCGGCGATAGGCCCCCGATAGCGAAACAGCGCGTTCCCGGGCGGGGTGGGCTGTCAGGCCGACTGGGGGTCGATGCATCACCACCTAATCAGACCCCCCTAAACATGCCCCTGAAGATGCTGCAAGGGGGGGGACCCGGCCAAACCCGCGAAACCCTCCGCAGACCTTCGAGACACTCCCGAACACCTCCGAGACCCCACCCCTCCTCCTCCTCCTCCTCCTCCTCCTCCTCCTCCTCCTCCTCCTGTGCGAGTCCAAGACTTATAAAGCAGCCCTTTGGGCAAATAACAATGATGCTTGAGCGGCCTAAGAGCGCTGAAGCCACGTCTCTTGACATCACGCGAATCGTGGCAAACAGCAAGAGCTGAAACGCCGGCTGGGGGTCACAATAAGCCGAGGGGGAAAGAATCATAGATCTTTGGCCGCCGAAAGTACTGTCACCCCCCCCTTGAGAGGGGAGGATCGAAGGGGCCCTGGGACACACAAATAAATAGACACAAATCCAGGGATTCCCCCTATGATCAATATTTTCGGGATGTTCGTCTTCCCCTCTCCTTCCCATGTTGTCCATGCTTCCCTGGGACTCGACGATGTCTGTGTTTTCCCTTCTGAGTAGAGGAGGGAAGAGGAGGAGTCGAGGAGGAGGAAGAGGAGGAGGAGGAGCAGAGGAGGAGGAGGAGGAACAGGAGGAGGAGGAACAGGAGGAGGAGGAGGAACAGGAGGAGGAGGAGGAGGAGGAGCAGGAGAAGGGGGTCTGGGTGCGCCGCCGCCAGGACAAGAGATGGCACTGGCCAGTACGGGGGCCCACCCCATGATTCTGGGGCTGACCTTGCTCGGCGGGGGCGCGGTGGCGCTCAGCTGCGGCAGCCGCGGCGGCCGGGGGGGCCGCCTGCGACGTGAGGCCGAGGGCCTCCGAGGCCTTCGCGCCGCGGAAGCGCGCCTTAATGTTGGCGGGGTCCTGCAGGATGGCGCGCCGGCAGTCGTCCACCGCCTGTGCGGGAACAGCGCGACCACAATCACATCGAGAATACACAATGGGGGATGCCCTGCGCATGCCAAGAAATGTCGGAACACCCAAACCGGTTTCGTACTGATTGCGGTCGATGTGGCGTTCCAGGACGGCCGAATCGACCACAACCACAACTCAAGCGCTCATGTCGAGGTCGGTGGGTTCTCCCCCGAGGGGCCCTCCCGACAAGTCCAACTAAATGTGGTTGTGATTCTTTGTAATGCCCGGAGCGTGGCCGCCGGCCGCGGGCCGCTGGAAGGCGAGTCGGCAGAAGCACGGATCGGGTGCGCCGTAGGGGTGGCGGAGGCGGAGGAGCAGGTTCCCCCGCCTCCTCGCGCTATGAGAAAATCACGGACTGTCCACAAGCTACGCAGAACGAAAAACCAGACCCGGGAAGAGGTCCAGAACGATGGGATTCCACGGTCCACGTTAAGTCAATGGAGTGCTGGGTTTGCGTGCCATGGCCCGAGGCATATACGCGAACGAGGGGAGGGGGCCGGCGAAGCTGTTCTAGGAAGCAAGGGGCGCCACGAAACCCGGGAGACTCCATGGACCCGGCCATTATGTCCAGAGCATTAAGTGGAGCGGGCAGCCGTGGGGGAACGAAGAATGACATGAACATAAAATTTCGGAAGTCCGCGCGGATTTCTTGGATCGGCACTGGACCCCTCTCCCTGGCGCGCGGAGCGCGCCAGAGGCGGCGCCGGAGGTTCCGCCAAGGAGCTCCAGCGCGGATCCGAGAATTCCGCGCGGACCTCCGAATTTTTATGTTTATGCCATTCTTCGTTCCCGGAACTATATCCAGAGCATCGGGTGGGGGGGGTAGCCGCGCAAGGAGCCTTCTGGTACTCCCCCACCCGCAGGCTCACCGCGGCGCGATTGCTGTACAGCTGCGAGTTCAGCCCGCCCGCGCCCCTTCGGCGCGCGAGGCGTCGGGCTTGTTCTCTGCCAGGGCGGTGGGCAGCGCCCCCGTTGCGCGCCGCGCGCGCCGGCGCGGGGGGGATCCTCGTGAGCAGAAGGGGGCACCTCCTCCTCCTCCTCTCCCTCCTCCTCCCCCTCCCAGTTTCGGCGTCCGTCCGCTAGCCCCCTCGAGGAGGCGGCCGCCGACTAAACACCAGCACCGATCCTGACCAGGCCCGTCCTGGCCGTAAGCCCAAAATCGGTGTATACGCCTTGTAGAACTTGTGGCCCGGAGAAGGCGGAGAAGGCACATGCGCGAATCATGGGTCGGCCCTGGACTGGCCTGGCCAGGGTATCGGTGTAGGTGTTTAGTTGGCGCCCTTCTCCACCCACCCGCATCCTCCATCTGCCGTCTCCCGCCTCCCCCCGAGGTCCCCTCTCTTCTTGGAGGGGAGGAAAAAGGGGATCGTGACCAAGACTGAACGTCGAAATGTCGTGTCGATCTTGGACACCATCGTTCTTGGTCAGCGTCCATTCGTGGGTCATCCTCTCGAATCGGCGACGGCCAGCACGGACCACCACCAAGACCGGCATCGACAAGATCCCGCGACATCTTGGTCATGGTCCCCGCGCTTCCCCCCTCGACTTCTCTCCTCTCTGGCGCTGCCAGGGCGATCGGGAGCGGCCGCGGCCGCGCGCGGCCTCGGCGGGACCCCCGAAGGGCCGCGCCAACCACGGCCACGACTGCAAGCCGCGACCCTGAAGTGGAGAAAAGCACGTCGACGCCCGCCTCCCGCCCCCCCTCTTTCCGCCCGCCCGTACTGGGCCTCCCAGATGGGGTCTGGCCCTTCCGGAACCCTCGGGTCATGAAACAGATCACGACAGAAGGTGTTTCTGTATGTTCAGCCTCGGGGCTTAGCTACCCCGCCCCTGGGGGAGAGGTCCGACGCTGGTCGCCTGTGTTTCTTCTACAGATTGAGCAGGCCTCCCTGGGGCGACCGCACCCTAAGAGGGAAAGCAGCGCCTGAATGACATCGATGCCATCAGCTACCAGCTGCCAGGAGGAGTAGGTTGGAGCGTCATGAGGGAGGGATGAGGAGGCGGAGGAGGCGGAGACGGAGGAGGAGGAGGAGACGGAGGAGGAGGAGGAGGAGGAGGAGGAGGAGGAGGAGGAGGAGGAGGAGAAGGGGACTCAAGGAGAAGCACGTCGGGAGTGAGAGGCAGCAGACAGAGGCGAGAGGCGAGAAAGAGGAGAATGAGGAGAAGGCACGGCGGGAGGAGGAGGAGGAGGAGGCGGAGGAGGAAAAGGAGAAGCACGTCGAGAGCGAGAGCGGCGATGAGGGCGAGGGGCGAGAATCAGGGCGAGGGGGGCGAGGGAGAGCACGAAGGCACGGCGGGAGGCGGAGCCCTAGTGCGCAAGCACCACGCGGGGGGGGGGGAAGAAGGGGCCAGGGACACGCCGATATGCGGCTGTTAAGGAAGGGGGGGGGGGCGTTCGATCACGCCCAATCGATTGTCACACCAGAGATCGCATCAGCTGCTCTAGATTCTAGATCTCTGAATCGAATCGCAAAACCCGCAAAACCACATGCGTGTACCGAAGAAAGCCCCTAGGCGAGCACCCGCCTCATCAACTTTCCCTGCTCAAAGCGATGCAATCGACCTGATATCAAGGTGGGGGGCGTCCCGCGGCAGGGGGATGGCAATCAGCCCCGCGCAGGTGCCGTCCTTGCACTCCATCTCGAGCCCCTGGGGCGCGGCGGCGCGCGGGGCCCCGCCTGGTCCGAGCTCTCCTGCAGTGCCCCCGCTTCTCTGGGCGGGGAGGAGGGGGGATGGCTAACGTGGCCCATGGACACACACAAACCCACAACACACATAAACATACCCCAATCCTGGGTGCCCCACGATTCGTCAATAACTTCTGGACTTTCGTCTTCCCCTCCACTTCCCGTATGACCAAACATTTGCCGTGGAATCTGCGGATATGCGTGTCCCCGCTGAACTGAGGCGGGAGGGGAACGAGCTTCTACTGGCCGCACCTGGACGCCTTCGCGCTGCTGGGTCACGGCGCCGTGCAGTGAGGAGGAGGAGGAGGAGGAAGAAGAATTATTCACTGCGTGGGGATCCCCATATGTGCATCTCCTTGCTGGCGCTCCCTTGGTGGTGGGACTCGGTGAGGACGACTCTGGATTTAAGTGTGACTGAGCTGCCTCTCTCTCTCTCTCTCTGCTCTCTCTGTCTCTCTCTCTCTCTGCCCTCTCTCTGTCTCTGCCTCTCTTTCCCTGCCTCTCTCTCTCTCTGCCTCTCTCTCTGCCTCTCTCTCTCTGCCTCTCTCTCTCTGCCTCTCTCTCTGTGCCTCTCTCTCTCTGCCTCTATCTCTGCCTCTCTCTCTCTCTCTCTCTCCTCTCTCTCTTCTCTCTATTCTCTCTCTGCTCTCTCCTCTCTCTCTCACTCTCCCTCTCTCTCTCTCTCGCTCTCTCTCTTCTCTTCTCTTCTCTTCTCTTCTCTCTCTCTCTATCTCTCTCTCTCTCTCTTTTCTCTCTCTATCTCTCTCTCTCTCTCTTCCCTCGCTCTCTCTCTCTCTCTCTCTCTCTCTCTCTCTCTCTCTCTCTTTCGCTCTCTCGCTCTCTCTTGCTCTCTCTCGCTCTCTGTCGCTCTCTCTCGCTCTCTCTCTCTCTCTCTCGCTCTCACTCGCTCTCTCTCGCTCTCTCTCGCTCTCCCTCGCTCTCTCCCGCTCTCTCTCTCTCTCTCTCTCTGCTCTCTCTCTCTCTCTCGTCTCTCGCTCTCTCTCTCTATCTCTCTCTTCTCTTCTCTTCGCTTCTCTTCTCTCTCTCTCTCTCTTCTCTCTCTCTCTCTCCCCCCCCCTCTCTCTCCACTTTCTCTCTCTCTCTCTCTCCTCTCTCTCTCTCTTCTATATCTATCTCTCTCTCTCTCTTCTCTCTTCTCTCTTCTCTCTCTCTCTCTTCTCTCTTTCTCTCGCCTGTCTCCTCTCTCAACTCCCCCTCCTCTCTCTCTCTCTCTCGCTCTCTCTCTCTCTCTCTCTCTCTCCTCTCTCTCTCTCGCTTCCTCTCTCTCTCTCTCTGCTCTCTCTCTCTCTCTCTTTCTCTCCTTCTCTCTCTCTCTATCTTCCTCTCTCTCTCTCTCTCTTCCTCGCTCTCTCTCTCTCTCTCGCTCGCTCGCTCGCTCGCTCTCTCTCTCTCTCTCTCTCGCTCGCGCTCGCGCTCGCGCTCGCGCTCTCTCTCTCTCTCTCTCTCTCTCTCTCGCTCTCTCCCGCTCTCTCTCTCTCTCTCTCTCTCTCTCTCTCTCTCTCTCTCTCTCTCTCTGCTCTCTTCGCTACTGGCTTCTGACGGAGTCTGGGTTAGGTGAGCCTGAGTGTGGGTGAGTCTGAGTATGGGTACGTCTGTGTGTGCCTGACTCTGAAGAAATGAATCTGAGTGTGAGTGAGCTTGTGTATGAGTGAGTCTGGGTGCGAGTCTGAATCCCAATGGTGCCCCTGGCAGTGTCTGGCGACTAGGAGGCCCGGGTCGACTCCTCTTTGGGAAGCCAAAATGCTGCCCCTGGCAGCGTTTGGTGACTATGAAGCCCCTGGTGGACCCCCCCTGGGGCTCCCAAATGATGCCCCTGGCAGCGTTTTGTGACCATGAGGCTCTCAAGAGATACATGTTGGGGAGGCCAAACGGCAATTCTAGCTGAGACGTCCCACCAAAATCGGCGCGAACGGGCTCGTGAGATCAGCCAGGGTGGCTCCCCCTTGGGGCTCCCAAATGATGCCCCTGGCAGCGTTTTGTGACCATGAGGCTCTCAAGAGATACATGTTGGGGAGGCCAAACGGCAATTTAGCTGAGACGTCCCACCAAAATCGGCGCGAACGGGCTCGTGAGATCAGCCAGGGTGGCTCCCCCTTGGGGCTCCCAAATGATGCCCCTGGCAGCGTTTTGTGACCATGAGGCTCTCAAGAGATACATGTTGGGGAGGCCAAACGGCAATTCTAGCTGAGACGTCCCACCAAAATCGGCGCGAACGGGCTCGTGAGATCAGCCAGGGTGGCTCCCCCTTGGGGCTCCCAAATGATGCCCCTGGCAGCGTTTTGTGACCATGAGGCTCTCAAGAGAGACATGTTGGGGAGGCCAAACGGCGATTTTAGCTGAGACGTCCCACCAAAATCGGCGCGAGCGGGCTCGTGAGATCAGCCAGGGTGGCTCCCCCTTGGGGCTCCCAAATGATGCCCCTGGCAGCGTTTTGTGATCATGAGTGAGTGTGAGTGAATGTGACTGTGAGTGAGTCTGAGTGAGAGTGAGTCTCATCTTATCTTATCGAGTCCTATCTTATCTTACCTTTAGTACCCTCTGTCTTATCTTATCTTGAAATATCTTATCTTGTCTTAGCTTATCGTATATCAACTCATCTTATCGCATCATATCTTGTCTGATCTTATTACTCCATAGGCTGTCTTATCTTATCTATTATCCTACCTTGTCATATATCTTATCTTACCTTATCATATCTTGTGCTATCTTATCTTATCTTGTAGTATATTATATTGTCTTGTCTTATCTGGTGGTTATCATTGGGAGGAGGGAGGCGCGAGCGGGAGGAAAGAGGAAGGAGGAGCAGTGGGAGGCGTCAGAGTAATAACAAGAACCCCAATCCTTAGGATATGGGGAATAAGAAGAAGAAGAAGCGGAAGAAGATAAGGAGGAGGGGGAGGAGGATGATAATCTCCCAAGACGGCATGTGGCACAACCAGAGAAGGGAGTGGCGCTTGGCAGCAACCTGCAGCTGCAGTTGAAGAGTCCCAGATGGAGGGGGCGTTGGGGAGTCGAGGGAGCAGAAAGGTGGGAGGGGACAAGCTCGGTGCGCTCGCACCATATCGGGCGTCCTACCCCTCCCACCCACCGCCGCCCGTTGCTTCGTGTTTCTCCATCTTCTGGGGTGTCGTAGCGGACCTGGAATCCCAACGCGAGGAGGATCTCACATCCAGAAGTGTAGCCGGCGTGTGGGCAAAGGCGGCCCTCTGAATTACGAGAGCAACGCGTCGATCCTGAAAGGAAGCCAACGCTGCGATGAGATCGCCATGCTCACCGAACCAGAAACGTTCCAATATGAGAAAACACAACTGGTACATTCGCTGCGAAACCTTACGCGGCAAATCATCCGCCACCGTGCCCCCTGGCACTTTGAGGTCCGCTAGGATGCCAAATGCTGCCTGGCAAGGTTTCTGCAGTCTTCCACTAAGAGCCCTCCCCTCGTCACACTGCCCTGCATGACTGCCGTGCGTGAATCGCCCCCCCGATCGAGGCCACAATCCCTCGAAACACGCGACAGACTCGCACTCTCGAGGCCACAACGAATAGTAACGCGCGAGAAATTCGCGCTCCCGAGACCAAATCCAGAGTAAACTGCAACAGATGCGCGCTCCCGAAGCCAAGATGCCTTCAAGAGGGCCCAAGATGCCTCCCTCCAAGACAGCCCACAGTGGCCTGCAGACGGCAAGAAGGCTTCAAGGCGGCCCAAGGGGCCTTCTAACAGAAAGCCCAAGAAGGCCTTCCGTGGGACCCATAACAGCCTTAGAAGGCCTTTCGACGGCCCAAGACGGCCCCCCACACGATGGCCCTCAAACACCCACCATACAGGCCCACGAGAGCCCCAAGACAGCGCAAGAGTGCTCTAAGACGGCCCAAGAGGGCCCCAAGGGATCCCCAACACAACGCTACACGAGGCCAAGCCAGCCTCAAAACGGCCTAAACGAGCTCCATGAGAGCTCCTCCAACAATGAAGACGAGAGGTGTCACATGTGACGGTTTTCCCCGTCCCTCTCCTCCTCCGATGATGATGACCTACGAACTATGGCAGCAATGCGTCGTGCAAGCGCAACGCACCACGGGGGAGAAAAAATACGCCGCCCTCAATCCGCGCAGGTTGCGGCCTGCGGGCGGGAGGGCGGTGGGCGGGCCGATGCGGGTAGCGGACCCTGGCAGAAGCCCCCGGTTGAGTTTCACACTCTCTGAGCAGGCCTTCTGGGAGCAATGGCCAAGCAGCTTGTGACGGCTGCTGGCTTTGCACGTGGCAGAGCCTCCAAATTCAGAGCAGTAAATGACAGGACGACCTGGATTCTCCAACCCAGAAACCTCAAGGACATGCTGGCGCCGAGGGGCCGACAGGACTCCAGGGCGGGGTTGAGGACAGTGCATTCTGAACCTCGAAGGTTGTGGCCTACCCTCCTGAAGCAAACATCGCGCCTACTCCTGCCCAGAAGGAAATCGAGAGCTTCACGAATCTGGGCCTTGGGGAGCTTCCCTGGGCCCACACGGAACCGACCACCGTTCCCCAGTTCCCTGGACGAGGGCCACTCGCCAAGCACATGCCAAAGTTCGTGACATAGGGTGGTGTAAAGCTCGAGCGTGGCTTTGAATTCGTCACACTTAGCACTGCTGAAACTGTGGCTGTTCGTTAGCGGCTTGCCCAGCATACGAGTCCGCAGAGCGAGTACCTCTACACAACATCTTGAGCTCCTCAGAGGAGAGCTGGTCCTCTTCCTGGTGCGCCTTGACCTTGGAACACAAAGGCGGGGGGCCAGGGTGGACCTGAGCGATGTCCTTCCAAATACGGGCCTGGGGGGTGGCCCCCTACATGACCGAGTGGTGGTGTCCCAAGGCTTTGAACAAGGAGGCGCCAGCAGCACCATCAGCACCATCATTATCACCACCATCACAAACGCCATCACTATCACAAGCACCATCATCCTCATCATCATCCTCACCCCCCTCACCATCACCAGCAGCAGCACGTCATCACCATCATCATCAGCAGCAGCAGCATCAGCATCAGCATCATCATCATCATCACCACCACCATCATCATCAGCATCAGCATCAGCATCATGAACATCACCATCATCAACATCATCATCGCCTACGTCAGCATTATCATCATCACCATCACCATCACCATCACCGTGGACCATCACCATCGTCATCATCAGCACCACCATCAGTCTCATCAACATCATCATCATCATTATCATCACCCTCATCCTCCTCACGGCTCTCCAACCCTTGAACGGTCGCCACCCAGAATGCTGGGCTGGCACGGTGGCAGGACTTGCCGCAGATCGAGTGGAGAGCAGCACTCATATTGAGCTGTTGCAGAGGAAGAACAGGGGATGAGAGAAGGATGGGGAGGGGGAGCAGAGGTCGGGGAGGAGAGGGGCTGCGGAGTAGTAATGTTTGATCCTCGCAACCATCCACATGCTTCGATGGTGGCCCTGTAGCTCGCGCTCGTGTCGTTCGCATCACGAACCAAGCACAGACAAAGTGGGTGCGGAGAGTAATTGCACGCCGAGCGGGGTCTCTCTTCGACGGTGTTCGGCGGTCTTCGGCCGTTTCTGGCGGTCGTCGGCAATTTACAGCGGTCTTCGGCGTGAGCGCTGGAAGAGCTCATGATCGAACACCTCAGGAGACCTCGGACCTCGGTAAGCCAACGCCCCTCCGGCGAAAGGAAAGCGCGGCTTCCTTGGTGTAGGCCAGCAACGCGTTCTGCGAGGCGATCTTGCCCGTGGAGAGCCGGAAGGCCTCGTTGCCCAACTTTCGGAAATGCTCCGCCATCTCCTCTTGCTTTCCCAACTCCGTCCCGGCTCGGCACTGGAGAACGAGACAAAGGGAGAGTAGAGGCCTCCTAGATGGGATCCGAGAAGATGGGGGCAGAAGATCGCGTCGCATCGCCGAAGCATCGCCGATGCATCGGCGATGCATCGGCGACGTCGGCGATGCATCGGCGTCGTCGGCGAGGAGAAAGGTGGGGTGCACATAGAGCCGCATCCGCGATGCATCGGCGATGCAGCGCGATCGTCCAGCCCCATCTACTCATACCCCATCTGGGAAGTCAAGAGAGAGAGAGAGAGCGAGAGAAAGAGGAAGAGAGGGAGAGGCAGAGAGATAGACTTAAGCCGGGTATTTCTTCCCCCAGGCGGATCCGGGAAGAAAAGTAAAGAGTAGTTAACGGATCGTCAAACGTATTGCAAAGAGCACAAATCGTCCCCAGACTATTTTCTCACTATTCTTGAACATTCCTCATGTAGAGGGACATGCCCGACTTGCAGATCGACACATGCAGCCACTGGAGGGGGGCACAAGGGAGCGAGCACAGGGATATAAGCTGGGAGCCCAGGCCCCCGACGCCTTGACTTTCTCAGAACGTCGACCCCCAGAAGTCTCGACACATTCCCAGTGACTCGCCATCGCTCGGACATCCATTTTCCAGGCATTTGTCGGCTTCGTGAGTGCATTTTCGCAAGATTACCTAAAATGCTCCTCGATGGTACTAGCCGAAAAAATGCACACGTCCGAACGATGCCAAGTGGACCGGTTTTCCATCCCGAGTCGTTCTTTGACGGTCCCCAGGACTGATGAGGTCCTCCGGAGGCTGAAGGTTGCCGAAAGCCTTCCATCGTGATTTTGTCATGACTCGAGGGGGTCTGGGAGAGGGACGGCGGCAACGAGGGCCGCTCCTCGTCCGTGTTGCCGTCGTACACCAGGCTCTGCAAGGCGAGCAGCTCCGGGTTGTCCGAGATGTCCCTCGGCACGTCCTCCATGAAGAGCGGGTGGTCGCGTATCTCGTTCATGGTCCAGACCCTGTCGTCGATCCTCGGGCGTCGGGCGAACGTACGAGAAGGGGTGGGCAGGCGCAGGGGTGGGGTTAGAAGAACACCCATGCAAGCTGCCAGCGGCAGGAAGTCCGAGCATCCTTCGACGAGCACAAAACAGCACACACCTAAACTTTCGCAGCTGCGCGCGGATTTCTCAAATCGGCGCTGGAAATCCTCCCTGGCGCAAGTTCACCAGGGGCGGAGCTGGAGGCGCCGCCCGGGGGCTCAACGCCGATCCAAGAAATCTGCGCGGAGCTCCGAAAGTGTATTCTTATGCCGTCCCTTGCTCCTCGGATCCAGTTGGCATCGTTCGCTAACCCAGCCTTGGGATACCCTCCCCTCGACCTCTACGAACCCCTGGGTGTGGCGGAGGGCTGGAAGGGCGCAAAGGCCCTTCGGACGACGGCGCTTCCCTCGCGGAGGTCGCAAGGCCCGGGACAGAACAAGCTGCGCCGCATTGTCCTCCTCCTGCTGCTGCTAACGGCGGTCGGACTCCTCGGGAGCAAAGCCGTGGTCCTCCTCCTCCTCCTCCTCCCCCTCCTCCTTCTCCCTCCGTTGAGCCAGATGCGGGCGGGGCTCAATACATGCACCACGTCGTCTGGTCGGCTAAGGAGCTCGGCGCATGGACGCCCAAACTGCCCAACCTGTGGGACGCTGCGGCGTCTATGCACCGAATTCCTTCGCCGGACTCCTCGGCTCCCCGGCCGACCAAACGACGTGATGCATCCAACGCCGATCCAAGAACTCCGCGCGGACCTCTGGGAGCTTATGCCTGTGCTTCCGGCTACCCAAACGTCCCAGACATCTGGCGTCTCGATGCTTTCGAGACGCGGGCCTCAGACCTCTCGACCACGTCCCACAAACTAAGAAAAACCTCCGCCTCGCTTTCTTCGAGACGCTCGATGTCTGGGGTCGCGACGCTCGCCGCGCGAAACGCAACCATCTTCCCGCCCTCGCGCCCCCCCATTCGTCGGCGGCGAGCGAGGGGGGAAAGTAAGAAGGAGCAGGCCTTCTCAAAGGCGGTGGGCCTTCTCAGAAGCCCCCGGACCTTCTCAGAGGTCTTTTCACTGTCTTCGGGGACGCTCAGAAAACTCATCAGAAGGCTGGGGGGCGTCCGAGCCTTCTGAGGCCTCCTCCTTCCAACTTCCCCCCCTCGCCAACGCTCGGACGTCCATTCCCAATGCATTTTTCGATTTCGTACGTTTTTTCTTCGCTCGATGACCCAGGATGGTCCTCGCTGGTTCTCGCCGAGGAAAGAATGCACACGCTCGAGCGATGCCACGCCCCTCGCTCGGAGCCGAATCTCCTCGCCCCCGCGCCGCCCCCCCCCCCAGTTGGGGGAGGGCAGCTCTGCGGCCCAGACCGCGGAGTGGAGAGGCGACGGCCAACTGCGCGCCCCCTGCGGAACGACCCTGGGGCTCCTCGGCGCCCCACTCGGAGGTCGCCGGAAGTGCTTGGGAGGGCCTCGATGAATGTGCGTATATATGTAGATTATCAGAGTGAGGGGGCCGAAGGGTCATTCATTGTCCCTGGTGCGTGGCTGAATTGGGGTTCCGCGGTGCGGATTGTTGGTACTTGTTGTTGTCGTCGTCGTCGTCGTCGTCGTCCCACTTGTGACCCAGCCCGCGACCCACCCGAAACTCGCCCGCGACCCTTCTGCGACCCTTCTGCGACCCACCCGCGACCCACCCGCGACCCGGCCCGCGATCTACCCGCGACCCACCCGCAACCCACCCCACGACCAACCCCCTGCGCCCGCCGCCTCACTCTTATCCGCAACTGCGGGGTTCTGCATATACTTCTTCCTATATGTGCAATGAAGGATGGGGCAACATCGTTTGCAACTTGCACATCCCTAGGGGGTACGGATAAGTCCTGGGGTCTGGGAAGTGGAAGGTCCGAGCTCCTGTTTTTAAAAGGTATGTATATACACATGTATATATGTATGTGGTGAGATCGATATGCACCTGTCTATGTGTAGAAACTTTTGCGGAGCAGTCTATGCGACGAGGCGGCGACGGCGAGCACGTACCCGCCATGCCGTGCTCAGGCCCGAACGACGGGCGGCGACGAGGCGGCGACTGGGGGCGACGGCGAGCACGGAACCGCCACACTGCCAAAGGAAACGACGGGCGGCGACGGCGAACACGCAGCCGCCAGACCGCTAGACAGGCCCAGCTCCTTAGAAAAGAAAACAAAAAAACCGTAAGTGCAAAGATTGTTTTAGCCAGCGTGCCCCCGGATCAACGTGGTTCTACCAGCACGCGTTGTGCAATCTAGGTGGGACAGTAGCATGGTTCGTGATAGGTTGTGCCATATATGTTGCACAACCTATGTTGTGCAACATGTGGGGCAACGTATGTCGTGCAACCATATGTAATACAATCCGCCTTGCCGAGTCCCACCCACCATCTCGCAACTTGGTTTGCAAACCGTTGCGGCGGCGATTGATTGCGATGAGCGTTCGGCACTGGCTGGCGCATCGCTGCGGCCGCGAAAACGTGCGCGGGTTCGGCCTCAGAGCGGCCAACTGGTCTGGCGTGACCGACGCGGCCGCGGTGGCTCTGACCGCTGGGGGCTTCCCGGCGCACTTCGCAGAACGCGCTGGCGCGCAAGTGTTTCATTCAGTGCGGGCGGTGACTCGGGCAGGTGCGTATCATAACAACGTCGGTAACCGCTGATATAATGTTGTTTGTAGCGATGCTGGTGGCGACGATGACGACAACGACGGCAAGACCGATCATGGCACCGATGCAAATCGCGACGGTGATGGTGTTCACGTGTCGGTGATGAAGGTTTTGGACGGATTTCGACACGCGCGCGCGGCCGACGGGCGCGAGTGGCCCGCATGGTGTTACGTGGCAGCGGTCGCGCCCCGCCCGCCAGCACGCGCGCAAGGGCGCTCGAGTGATTTCGACATGAGCGCAATTGACGAACATGTTGAAGTAACCGATGGTTACCTGAATAATTCGCTAGATCGCAAGCGCAGACAACACCCGTGGTTTCATATGTTTGTTGGAACCTCGATATGCTGTGTTTGAAGGATTTCGGCCAACGCGCGCGACGAAGCGCGCGTGTGGACGTTGTCAAATGTTTAACACTGGGTTATTGGCAACAGATGGTCTGTGATAAACGAATGAGCGCGCGTAGTGTCATTTGACGAGGATGTGGGGGGGTCGACCCTAATTTGGTTGGTATGGAGCGATTTTCGTATAGTTAGAATGAACGATCAAGCAGGACATATGTAAACTGTAAATCCCCAAGGTGGACCGATAAATCTGGGGGGGAGGTGGTTGATCCTAGCTGAATGTGTATAAAAGACAAGATACGGTGCAAAATATGTTGAGGACTCTATGTTGTCCAATATACGTGGTGCAGGCTGTGTGGTGCAGTCTACGTGGTGCAACCGACGTGGTGCAACGTACGTGGTGCAGCCTATGTGGTGCAAAATGTGTGGCGCAGCGTGTGCGGTACAATCTATGTGGCGCAATATTTCTGCAGCAATATATGTGGTGCAACCTACGTGGTGCAATCTACGTGGTGCAATAGTACAGTACAATCGACGTCGTGCAATCTACGTGGTGCAATCTATATGGTGCAATTAATTTCTGTTCGCAGTGAGTTGTCCACTCCACTGCTCGCGCAAACATCCCACCCACCCACCCGCAACTTGGTTTGCAAAATCTCTTAAGACCGTAACGGTGGGTACCACATGGCACTTGGCAACAACAGCGACGCCGACGACGACAGCGACAACGACGACGACGCCGCCGACAACGACTACGACGACACCGACGTCTCCAACGACTTCGACGACGCCGACAACGACTACGACGACGACGACGACACCGACGACGACGACGACGACGCCGACGCCGACGACGACGACGATGACAACGACGACGACGATGACGACGCCGACGACGACGATAACGACGACACCGACGACGACGACGTCAACGACGCCGACGACGACGACGACGACGACGACGGCGACGACGACGACGCCGACGTCGACGACGACGAAGACGACAACGACGCCGACGCCGACGCCGACGACGACGTCGCCAACGAAGACAACGAGGAAGGAGGGAGGACGACGACGGCGACAACGACGACAACGACGACAACGACGACAACGAGGGAGGAGGGAGGACGGCGACGACGCGAACGACGAAGAAGGAGGAAGGACGGCGACGCCGACGACGGCAACGACGAGGGAGGAGGGAAGACGACGACGACGACAACGACGACGACGACGACGGCGACGAAATAGGAGGGACGACGACGAGACGCCGACGACGGACGACGACGACGACGAGGAAGGAGGAGGAAGAACGACCACGGCGACAACGACGACGGAAACGACCACGACACCAAAGAGGATGACGACGACGAACACGAGGAAAGACACAGGACGACGTAGGCGACGACGACGACGCGGAAGGAGGGAGGACGGCGACGACGACGACGACGCAAGAGTGCGCGCGCACGCTTTTGCTGAAAATCCGTGTTGCGAAACCTTGTGTTTGTGTAGGGTTCTTGGACGCGCGATTTAGAAATCCGTCCGAAACCGATGGGTTTTGAAGGATTTCGGCATACGCGCGCGACGACGCGCGCGTCTGCACTTCGTCCCATTTGTCGCAGAGGATTCTCGCGACGGCACACGCGCAAGGGCGTTCGACAGATTTCGACATGCGCGCGCGCGACGCCTGTTTGGTAGCATGTTGTGGAAATCTTGAAAAAAAAACCACGGTTTTCCTAAGATTTCGCAAGAGCTCGCGCGTAAGCGTTTTCTAGCAAATCTGTGTTGCGGAACCCTATGTTTTTGCATGTTTTTGGGGAACTCGATTGCGAAATCCTTCCGACGCCGAAGGTTTTCGAAGGATTTCGGCATGCGCGCGCGACGACGCGCGCGTGTGCACTTCGTCCCATTTGTTGCAAGGGATTCGCGAAAAAGTGTTATGTTAGAACAAAAAATGTCCCCGCATAGTGTTTTTTTTTTTCAAAGGGAACCTCAGTTGGCCTGGGACATTGTGATTTCATATTTAGGATGGACATATGGTCAGAATCATATGTGATTTGCATAGGACGCGGGTGACGTGATAACGCCGGGGGGGGGTAGAGTCTAGTCTGTTTTTAGAACGGAGAATTAATCACTTGCCGAACTTGAAGTTGTCAACTCCACTGCTCGCGCAATCATCCCACCCACCCACCCGCAACTTGGTTTGCAAAACCCATGCGGGACCGATCACAGATATCGCTCAGGGGTCGTCTTGGAGCCCTCGGGGGCGTCTCAAGAGCGCCCCTAGAAGGCCGGAGAAGCAAGACGGCCGACGACGACGACGACGACGACGACGGCGGCGACGACGACGACGCCGACGTCGACGACGACTAAGACGACGACGCCGACGCCGACGCCGACGTCGACGACGACGACGACGTCGCCAACGAAGACGACGACGAGGGAGGAGGGAGGACGACGACGGCGACAACGACGACAACGACGACAACGACGACAACGAGTAGGAGGGAGGACGGCGACGACGCGAACGACGAAAAAGGAGGAAGGACGGCGACGCCGACGACGACAACGACGAGGGAGGAGGGAAGACGACGACGAGACGACGACAACGACGACGACGACGGCGACGAAATAGGAGGGACGACGACGAGACGCCGACGACGGACGACGACGACGACGAGGGAGGAGGAGGAAGAACGACCACGGCGACAACGACGACGGAAACGACCACGACGCCAAAGAGGACGACGACGACGAACACGAGGAAAGACACAGGACGACGTAGGCGACGACGACGGCGACGCGGGAGGAGGGAGGACGGCGACGATGACGACGACGACGACGACGACGACAACGCCGCAAGAGCGCGCGCGCACGCTTTTGTTGAAAATCCGTGTTGCGAAAACTTGTGTGTTTTGTATGTTTTTTTTTGGACGCGCGATTTAGAAATCCTTCCGAAACCGATGGGTTTGAAGGATTTCGGCATACGCGCGCGACGACGCGCGCGTCTGCACTTCGTCCCATTTGTTGCAGAGGATTCTCGCGACGGCACACGCACGCGCAAGGGCGTTCGACAGATTTCGACATGCGCGCGCGACGTCCGTTTGGTAGCATGTTATGAAAGTCATGGAAAATCAATGGGTTTCGCGCGTGAGCGTTTTTTTAGCAAATCTGTGTTGCGGAACCCTTTGTTTTCGCATGTTTTTTGGGAACTCGATTGCGAAATCCCTCCGGCGCCGAAGGTTTTTTGAAGGATTTCGGCATGCGCGCGCGACAACGCGCGCGTGTGCACTTCGCCCCATTTTTTGCAAGGGATTCGGGAAAAAATGCTGTGTGAGAACAAAAAATGTCACCGCATTTTTTTTACAAAAGGAACCTCAGGGGGGGATACCGGCTGGCCTGGGACATTGCGACTTCATATTTAGGATGGACATATGGTCAGAATCATATGTGATTTACATACCCGAAAGGGGTACCGATAACGCCGGGGGGGGTCGAGTCTATTCTCTTTTTGGAAAGGAGAATGAAATTGAGTTGGCCACTCCACAGCTCGTGCAAACATCCCACCAACCCACCCGCAACTTGATCGCAAGACCTCTTCAAGCCGTGAATGCGATTACCCATCGACGACAACGACGACGGCGACTACAACGACGGCTACGACGACGACGACGACGACGACGACGAGGGGGACGACGACGACGACGATGACAACGACGACAACGGGGAAGATGACGACGACGACGACGACGACGACGACGACGACGACGACGACGACGATGCGCGCGGCCGCGCGCATGTGCCCCGCATGGTATTATTTTGCAGGGTTTGTGCCTCTGGCACGCGCGCGGAAGTTGTTGAAAGAGTTCGGCGTGCGCGCGAGAAGTTGCCCGCGAAGCCCCGAGTGACATGAATGAAAAACCACTGGTTGTTGAATGATTATGCCAGCGCGCGCGAACAAATTGTCCTAATTTTCCAATGCGCAAGTGGTATGATTTCCAATGAATTATTGAGGTCCGATTTTGAAATTGTTGAAATCACCATGTGTTTGGGGGGATTTCGGCATGCGCGCGCGGAGGCCGCGCGCATGTGCGCCTTATGGTATATGTACAAGGGATGGCGCGTCTGGCCAGCGCGCGGAGGTTGTTGAGTTAGTTCGACGTGCGAGCGAAAGTGGCCCGCGAAGGCACATTTGACAGGAATGTTGAACAATCGTTGGTTTTTGAAAGGTTTTGCAAGAGCGCGCGGGCAGAATTTCCCAAATTGGTGGGTGAGAAAGTCGTATGTTTTACTTTGAATTATTGAAATCCGATCTTGGAATTGTTGGAGCCACCGTCTGTTTAGAAGGGTTTCGAGATGCGCGCGCGGCGGCCGCGCGCATGTGCGCCTTGTGGTATTATTGACCAGGGATTCGTGAAAAAAGTGTGCCTCTGGCGCGCGCGCGGAAGTTGTTGAATGAGTTCGGCGTGCGCGCGAGAAGGTTGCCCGCGAAGCCCCGCGTGACATGAATGTTCAAAAGCCACTACTGGTTGAATGATTACGCAAGCGCGCGCGAACAAATTGTCCAAATTTTCCACTGCGCAAGTGGTATGATTTCCAATGAATTATTGAAGCCCGATTGTGAAATTGTTGAAATCACCATGTGTTTGGGGGGATTTCGGCATGCGCGCGCGGAGGCCGCGCGCATGTGCGCCTTATGGTATTATGTACAAGGGATGGCGCGTCTGGCCAGCGCGCGGAGGTTGTTGAGTTAGTTCGACGTGCGAGCGAAAGTGGCCCGTGAAGGCACATTTGACAGGAATGCTGAACAACCATTGGTTTTTGAAAGATTCTGCAAGAGCGCGCGGGCAGAATTTCCAATGTTTTTGGGTCAGAAAGTCGTATGTTTTACTATGAATTATTGAAACCCGATCTTGACATTGTTGAAATCACCGTGTGTTTAAAAGGATTTCGACATGCGCGCGCGGCGGCCGCGCGCATGTGCGCCTTATGGTATTGTTTGCAAGGGTTTCCTGAAAACGTGCGATGTTAGAACAACAAATGTCACCGCATAAGGTCTTTATTTATCGTTTTCGTTTTTTTGTTTTGTTTCCGTTTTTTGTTTTTCTTTTAAACAATGAAAAGGGAACCGCAAGGAGGGGGATACCGGCTGGCCTGGGACATTGTGATTTCATATTTAGGATGGACATGTGGTCAGAACCATATGTGATTTACGAAAGGACGCGGGGGGAATGATAACGCCGGGGGGGAGGGGGGTAGAGTCTATATATCTCTTAGAAGGGAGAATTCACCAACGCTCAATTTGAAATTGTCAACTCCACTGCTCGCGCAATCATCCTACCCATCCCCCAACAAATTGGTTTGCAAAACCAAGCGATTGCGATGAATGATTGGTGCTGGCTGGTGCATATCTGCGGCCGCGCCAGCCCGCGCATGCACGCGCGAGCAGCGGCCAGCTATTGGCGCGACCGACTCGCCCGCGGCGGCGCTCACCGCTGGGCGCATCCCAGCAGGCACGCGAGTGCGAATCGGTGACTTGGGCGGGCAGGGAATCATGGAAACTCGGCAACAGTAGACATGATGATAATTGTAGCGATGCTGGTGACGATGTTGACATCTACGACGGCTCGGCCACTGACGGCGCCGATGCTGATCACGCCGACGACGATGACAGCGTCCTCGAATCGGTATGGACGTTTTGGAAAGGGGTTCGGCATGCGCGCGCGGCCGACGCGCGAGTGGCCCGCATGGTATTATTTGACACGGCGCGTGCCCCCCCCCAGCACGTGCGCAAGGGCGTTCGAATGAGTTCGGCTGCTTGCGGCGCGAGAGGCCCGCTTGCTAGAATTCCATGACAGTGTTGAAAAGCCGATGGTTTCTCTAAGGATTTGCAAGAGCGCAAGCGCAGGCTTCTTTGAAAACTGTTGGTGCGAAGCTATATGCTTATCTTGTTTCGGGACTCTCGGTTTTGAAATCCGTAGGAAACCTAAGGTTTTCGAAGGATTTAGGCCAGCTCGCGCGACGATGCGCGCGTGCGCATTTCGTCTCACTTTTGCAAAGGATGTTTGCGACAACACGCGCGCAAGGGTCTTTGAACGAGTTCGACATGCGCGCGAGCGAAGCCCGATTGTTGATAGACGCGTGCTCGCGCATTGAATCCTCTGGAAAGGATGATGGGGGAGGTCGATACGGGCCTGGCTGGGAAGGGATGGGTTCGTATCTAGGATGGACGATGGAGCAGAACCAGATGTAAACTGCAATGCGAAAAGGAGGGCGGAGAACCCAAGGGAGTGGTATAATCCAATATTTAAGAGAACCTATGTTGCTCAAACGATGAAGTGCAAGCTATGTCGTACAATATAGGCGGCGACGGTGCGGCGACGAGGCGGCGACGGAGCGGCGACGGCGAAAACATAGTCGCAAGACCGGGCATAAAGCCCAGACAAGACGGGCGGCGACGAGGCGGCCACGGGACGGCGACGGCGAGCACGAAGCCGCCTGACCGACATTCGGGGCCAGTTCCTCCGTAAAGAAATAGGAAATCCCAAATTGCAAATACTGTTGGGAGGAGACTCATGGGCATTGAATGAGGACCCGTTGGAGAAGCAATTCAGGTCCTGGAAGCCGGTGGAGCTTCAATCGTGGATTGGCAATGAATGTTGTCACCGACGCCTTCATGAGAAAAGGATCCTCAAGGATCTGAAACCTCCTGGGAACATTCCCGAACGACCGCCCCAACCGTACACCACGTCGTTTGGTGGGCCACGAGCTCGGTGCATAGACGCCCCAGCCAAGCACCACCAAAGGTCAGCCGCACTTGGGCCGTGGTGGTGGTCCTGAAGCATAAACCCGCGACCCAAGGTCCTGTACTCGCCGAACTCGTCTTCGCCATACCTCACGGGCGGCCCCTCGGATGCCGACTCGCCGCCCTCGCACATGGGTGCCACCAGCGCCAGCCCACGGGGATGCCTCGGAAACCGGCAGCCCCAAACATCTGGCGTCTCGATTTTTCCGAGATCAGGGCCCCCGACCTCTCGACCACTTCCCAAGGACTGATGTTTCATCCTGGGTCGTCTTTTGACGGTCCCGAGGTCCGGGAAAAGGCCCAAGTGACGAAAACGATGGAAAACCTCCTTCTCGATTTCTTCGAGACGCCGGGTGTCTGGGGCTACGGCATCGCCGCCGGCCCTGGCAAGGCCGGGCGTGGGCTCTGGACACAGGTCGCCTGCTCTCGCACCTCGCGCTGCGCCCGACGCGACGCTGTTCGCGCTCTCCCGCGCCAGCCCTGGGGAAGGGCAGTCCTGCGTCCCAAGCGGCGGTGCGCGATATCCATCGAACTGGTGGTCACGTCTTCTTGGTCCAGGGCCGGGTGACCCGAGCACCAGTCCAGGGTGGATAGGCCTGGCCACGGCTGGCGGTGGTGTATGACTGCCGGTTCCGAGGACGGGGGGGAGCTTACGGCGGAGGGGCACAGAGAGAGCGCTCGAGCCCAAGACGCGGACGCCTATAACGTGGGCGAGGCGAGCCGATGTCTTCAGACAGGCTATGGTCTACCTCCGTCTAAAGCGGGGTAGAAACATTCCCCCGCCCTCCTGCACATTGCTCTCTGTCTCTGTCTCTCTCTCTCTCTCTGTCTATCTTTGTCTCTCTGTCATTCTGTCTCTCTCTCTCTCATCTGGCCGCCTGCAGCTGAAGGTGAGTGGGTGGAGCTAGTGCAACCTTCAGTGAGGCCGCCCCGCATTCATATCGAGCGTCGCGCATGCGAACCTGCGCGCGAGGCCGATGACCCTAGCGCTGTCAGAGCCAATATGCCCTGATGTGGCAGATCATCCTCATGTTCCCGTCGGTAAGCGGCTTGGCGAAGTGTCACAGTGTCGCATGCGTCACTGGTGAACGAATATTGAACCGCTTGGGGGTCGCAAGTGACGTGCGGTTCAGCTGTGGCAGAGAATAGTGGTGTCATTGTGTTGCCGCGCCGTGGTGTCGCATTGCCGAGCTACCGCAGTGTCGTTGTGTTGGGAATCAGTGAAGGGCACCTTGTGAACCATGTTCGGATCCATTGTGTGAAATTTGCTCCTGTTCTGATTCGCGTGTGAATATGCTGTGGGTAAGTGTGACTCAACGGTGACTCAAATGTGACTCAACTGCCAATGATCATAATGCACATTGTAACCAGATTCTGAATTCATTGCGCATCAATTTTGCACCAAGTGGCGGTGTCGAGTTTGACTGTAAAAGCGTGTATGTCCATCGTGTGGGAATGACGAGAAACAATCGTGTGTCATTCATGAACCAATTGCGGGTTATCTGTGGAGCAACCGTGTTTTAATCGTCGCTGAGCAGTTGCGGTCCAATTGCGGGCCGACATCGCATCGCGGGGTGACCATTATACTGCGAAGTGTGAAGCAATAATCTCCTCGCGCGTACTTCTTTGATGCATGGTCTGCTATGTGGGCCGACACGACTGGGTAGATGCACAGCTGGATGAAAACTCGTACTTGTAAATTCCTGGATACGTGAAGTTCGAATGTGAGGCAACGTATTTGACTCCCATCTCCTTACAGGCAATCCGTATAATAAGGATGCTGGGTAAGGATGCAAGGGCCTTGGAGGGCCATGTTGACGGTTTTTCGAACGAGGCTGACCAGCGAAAGTCGCTAGGGATGAGCCGATTGGGGCAAGGATGCAAGGCTAGACTTGGAAAGTCGCTCATCCTTACTATGCGGGTTGACTGTATCGGCTGAACCGTCCTTGCCCGTGCCCCGAAGCACTGGCAACAGCATTCGTGGGCACCATGGAAAGTGCTGGCTGATGTTGATGTGTGCTGGTTGCTGCTGCTTGCAGCTAATACGTGCTACATGCTGCTATTGATTGCTGCTGTTCGCTGCTGCTGCGTGCTCCTGACTGCTGCCGCCCACTGGCTTGTTTGCTGCTGACTGCTGCCGCCTGCTTGTTTACGTACTGCTGATTGCTCGCGCCTGCTTGCTTGCAGCTGCTGGCTGCTGGTTGATGCTGCTGGCCACTGCTGATGCCACCCCTCCTACTCATCAGGCCCCCCGGGGTTGCGAGGCACCACCGCGCAGCTCCCACACATCTTGCAGCCCCACTGACGGGGACCTCGACAAACCGGAGCATCCGGCGCGCTCGACAAAAAAACTGCAGCCGTTGCTCGAAATATGCTCTGTTCGTCGCTCCCTCCTGATGGAATTTCCAGCAGTCCTGCTCAGCAACGTCCTGGTCAGGGGGGCCATGAGCGGGCCCAAAATTGGAGGCGGCCAGGGGGGCTGAGCTCCCGAATCGGTCAACGGAAGGGATAAGGGCAAATCTGCTCAAAATCGGTCCCTGGACCCCTCCAGGGGTCCGTCTGGTGCAGCTTTCGCCCTGGATCCGTT